TCTTTTTTAATGTTTCGGCCTAGATTTAAACCCAGAGAATTTAGATAAAACTACTAAAACCCTCCTATAAGTTGTTAGCTTTGATACCTTATATTCGTTTATATTTATATTCATTCCTCTACTTGCTTTCCATGCTTAGCCTATCATAGGAGCTTGATAAATAATTTTTTAAGATATTGTTCTTGTTAAGTTATAAAATATTTTAATATTTTTAATAATAAAAATTTAGTGCAAAAGTATAAGGCAGAGGATAGGGAAGAAGAAAAACCTTATACATAAAACAAGTATAAAGGAGTTGAAAAAGAGAAAATCCCTCCCCTCCATTGTTTCTGTTTTCAGATTTCTTCTTTCAAAAGAGGAAATTCATAGGTAATTATTCTTTTTATATCATCATAAGTAGAAATTTAAAAGTGTGATTTTTACTGTTAATAAATACTACACATATAAGGAAATTCACCAGCATGAAAGACAGACAAGAATTTAAAAAAGAAAAAAGAAAAGTTGACTCCAGATAAATCAGCTACAACACACAGAAAATAATTCCAAATGAATGATTTTTATCCTTGTAAAAGGTAGTAGTCTTAAGTAGTTTTAAGTAGTTAAGTAGCTTTAAGATAAGTACTTTAAACATCGAAGAACAAGAAGGTTTTAAGAGATTGATTGCTAGAATAAAAATGTAAAGGCAATGGAAGATAGAAGAAAGTCTTTTTAAAAAATTAAACAAAATAACAAAGAAATAGAACATATGAGAGATGAGACAGAGAACAAGTTCAATAGAATCAGTGCCAGAAGTCTCAGGGGAAGCAAAGAGAATAGAGAAAACCGAATGAAGAAATATCAAAGTAATAATTTAAGAAATTTTTCCAGAGTCAAGGGGTGTGAGCATCCAAATTTATAAGACCCACTAGTGTTCAACAAAAAGAATAATAAAAGGCCAGCCCTAAAACAATTATCTGAAAAAAACCTTAGAATAACAAAGCCAAGTTTAAGATTCTAAAAAGGGATATATAGATTCAACTATTAAAAGACACACAGGCTTTGCAGATGCTGCTGCCTTAAGCCTTTTCCCATCAGCCATGGTCAGTCTCACCATGTTCTTCAACATCACCCTCGACGGCGAGCTCTTGGACCACGTCTCCTTTGAGCTGTTTGCAGACAAATTTCCAAAGACAGCAGAAAACTTTCGTACTCTGAGCACTGGAGAGAAAGGATTCGGTTATAAGGGTTCCTGCTTTCACAGAATTATTCCAGAGTTTATGTGCCAGGGTGGTGACTTTACACGCCATAATGGCACTGGCAGCAAGTCCATCTATGGAGAGAAATTTGATGATGAGAACTTCATCTTGAAGCATACAGGTCCCGGCATCTTGTCCATGGCAAATGCTGGACCCAACACAAATGGTTCCCAGTTTTTCATCTGCACTACTAAGACTGAATGGTTGGATGGCAAGCATGTGGTTTTTGGCAAGGTGAAAGAGGACATGAATGTTGTGCAAGTCACAGAGGGCTTTGGGTTCAAGAATGGCAAGACCGGCAAGAAGATCACTATTGCCGACTGTGGACAACTTTAATAAATTTGACTTGTTTTATCTTAAACTACCAGATCATTCCTTCTGTAGCTCAGGAGAGCACCCCCTCCATCCCATTTGCTCACAGTATCCCTATAATCTTTGTGCTCTTGCTGCAGTTCTTTGTATTCCATATTTTCCTTATTCCCTTCCAAGTCTAGATGGATTTCCAGGAAATAAAAAACAATAAATAATAAATAAATAAATAGATAAATAAATAAAAACACACACAATTATCAGAATAGAAGCTAGAGGCAATTAGTCAAAATTCTTCAAAAGTTTGACATAAAATGTTTTTCAACTCAAATTTTTATACCAAGACAAGCTATCAGTTTTGTGTAAAGGCAGAATGAAGACATTTTGAGGAGCGCATTTTCAGAATAAATTACCTTAAAAACATTTTCTTAGAAAGTTACTTAAGGGTTTTTTTTGTATGATAAGGTAGTAAATTAAGAGATATTGATGAAATTCAGGATACAGTGGCTCCAACCCAAAAAAGTAATGAAGAGAAGTCCCAGGATGACAACTCTGTAGCAGACCTAAAGATGACTGGTCAAGATTAAAAGAGGAGGATTAAATTACCCAGAAGGAAAAGTTCTAGAGGAGTGTAAAACACTTTAAAAATATATTCTAAAAAATTAGCTGGTATGATAAAGCATTTGAAAACAATCAAGAATATTGAGAAAGATTAAAGGAAATGATGAAAGGAAGGAGGGAATAGAGATTCAAGAGGTAGGAGAAGGGATGAGAAGAAGCTGTGCCAGAAAAGAAATGTAAGAATAATACTTTGTGCTGTCACAAATATTTCACAGTCATAATGTTATAAATATATATAACAAATTTAACCATAAATAGTAAAATAATTATATTGGAAAGATGGAAGTGTGAGTGGTGAGACAATGTAAGAGAGTCTCATCTCCATCATAAGAGGGAGTCAAGGAATGATATTTCAAGTTGATGAATCAAGCAACACAAATATAATATTTAGAGATATGGAGGCAACCACCAGAAGAGACAGATTAAAAAAATTAATTATAGCTATCTGTGGTGGTGGGGGGGCAAGGATAGAGATTGGAAAAGGATGGGGAAGAGTTAGGCAGAGGATTGTTGTTCTTTCCTATGTCTTCTGATATACATTTATATTTTAAACCATGAACATATATTATTTTGTTTTAAATATTTTTAATTATCAAAAAGTATATATAAATATTTTCTTTGTAGTTCACAAAACTGGTTTTGTATGTGGAAGTAAGAGAGTCCCTTATGAATAACGGTTCAAACGCTTCTGGGTCTACAGATAGGAGTGGATGAGTTCCCATGGCAACTCTGCAGGCAGTGAGGGGAGTAAATTATAAACACCTAAATATGTGCAGTGTGGTACAATAGGGATTTAGAAAGATAAAGGGCAACTCTGTGGAGAGTAATGTCTGAATATCTTGAAAGACAGCTTTTTCAGTCAGGGCAGTGGGTTGTTACAATGAGCTAGGGGACAAAGGGGAACTGACCAGACTTCCTCATCTCTCCTGGAGAACCTAAGAGTTGCTAACCACTGTTGTTAGTGAGGTTTAGCTTCTGCTTAAGGTTACAAAAATCTAAAAACCAAACCCCAGCACAATTTTCTTATGCAAATATTTCTAATAATGTGATTAGCTTCCTGCGTATTATTATGTAAACAAAGTCCTCCCATTGGTCAGCTCCAATAATGATAATAACTAGTGTTAGTTTAGAACTATTTGCATACACTGACAACTTTAGAGCTACCAATCACCATCTCAATACTTCATTTCATTTGATTCACAAAACAATACTAAAATATAGACAATGCAAGTTATTACTGCAATCACCCCTATTTTATAGATAAGACATCTGAGTTTCAGAAAGTGACTTGCATAATTTGCATTCCTAGGTGAGTAGCAAAGACTTTAAATTTAGATGTGTCCCTTGATTCCAAATTTTACACTCATTTCTTGACACTGCATGCTTGAACTACAGGCTAATCTGTTGGTGTTAACTGATACCAAGAGGACTGCCTACATAAGAATATCATGAACTACTATACACATTGTGTCCGACACAAAGGCAGCCATTCAATTACTGGTGGGACCTGAGGTCCAGTCCTCTCACCTCCCACCAACCCTACACCCTAGCTCTGGTAAGTTTTTCCATAATTTGAGCAAAGGTAACTCCTGCATCAGCCATCAGATGAGACTCTTCTTATTGGTTCCTGTCTCAGAACAGGAGACACATGAGATCCATGTAGTTATCAAAATAAACATGAGATGAACAACCACATGGCGGCTGCTGTTCTAGGAACTAGGAATATAATGGTTAATAGAATAGACTAGGTCCCCGATCTTATGGAGCCGATAGTCCAAATAAGAGAAAGACAGATAAAGACATGCAAGAGAAAACATTAGAAGTAGTCAAGTGTTACACAGGGAATTAAAATAAGTTGATGTAATCATGATTGATAACTACTTTAAACTGGGGGGTCAGGAAAGACCTCCCAGGAGAAAACATTTAAGTAGATATCTGAGTGATGAGAGAGAACCCACTAAGAGAAGATTTAAAAAAAAAAAGAGGGAGGGAGGGGATTCCAAAGAGATGGACTAGCCAATCCAAAACCCTTGGGAGCAGGAACAAACTTGATCTGCTCAATGAAACAGAATAGATTCAGCAAAGCTGTGCTACATGGATTGGAAAGAGGAAACCAGAGAGGTAGGCAGGGGCCAGACTGTTGCAGAACTTGGGTGCCAGGTGGGGCATTTAGATTTTAGTCCAAGTGCAGTGGGGGGAAAAAAATCTTAAGAAGGAGAATGACAGGATCTGATTTACCTTTTTCATAATATCCTTCTGGATGCTGCTTGAAGAGTGAAATTTAATGGGACAACAGAACAAGACCCTAATCTCCTAAAGGAGGTATGTGGCTAGAAGTAGAGTGTCTTGTCTTCATGGAACTGCTGAATAGCTCAAACTGCACCAGAGACTAAGTGGACACAAGATCTTTCCATGGAGACCCTAAGACTATAGGAAGAATGGTCGCATATAAAGGGTATTGATTGGTTTCTATCTCTGGATACCTTGTGTATTCTCCATGAAGATTTCCTGGCCTCCTCTGATAGAGTAAGCTATTTGTCTTTTCTGTGTCTCAAGTACCTGAGACAAGTGTCTTCAGATGCACATCACACTGTGTACACAGTTGTCTGTTCCACAGATAGTGAGTTCTGTGAGCCCTGTCCCTCGTGTTAGTCAGCTCTGTCTCCCTAATTACCTAACACAACACAGAGTTCTTCATAAAAGCTCACTACTGTCTGATGGGGTAGATGAATGCTTTATTTTGGACAATGTGCATCTTTTTTTCTCCAAAAGTCAAAAGGATAAAGCAATGTTAGAACTGCACGCTACAAGCAGAATACTGCAAACCCCAGTTCCTTACCTCTTTGGTGAGTCAGGGTCGAAGCAGGTCTTGTGCACGTCAGCCACATCGGGGTCACAGCAGTCCCCATCATCAAAGTCATTCAGCATGTTGTTGCACTCTATGTGACAGGTCCCGTCCCTGCGGTTCCAAGGGTAGCAGCGGCCCTGCAGGCGGCAGTCTCCCCCATCATAGCCCGTGAATTGGTAGTTACACTCAGGGTCACAGTGATCATTGCCAATCTGACTGGGTTCACAGTTCACAAGCATGACCCGGTGGCGTAGCGTGGAGTTGTGGACCTGGTGGACACTCAGCTGCCAGCTGATGTTGTAGCGACTGAAGGCCTCATTCAGTGCCTCGTGCTGACGTTGGATTTGCTCCTCACTCACAATGGGGTTTAGGCCCTCATTGTCGCAGATGTTCACCACCTGGTAACGTATCACCTTCTCTCCCCGAAGGGGCCAGTGCTCATTGTACTGGGAAATCAGCTCCACATTGTCACAAGCTGTCTGCCCACAGAGAGGGGGCTGCAACGGTGACAGAATCTCAGGCTGTGGCTCAGAGCCCTGGAGAACTTCAACCCGGGGGTACTTCTCATCTCTAAAGGGGGCCCACTGTTCTTTCAGAGGTTCAAAACTGGCTGTCAGGATCAAGGCGGTCAACTGCTCCACCACACTCAAATGCTGAGGACTATGCTGGAGGTAGCTTTGAGAGAGGGCGGTTGACCAGAAAACCAGCGTGCCCAGGTGTCCACGGAAATAGTGCCCGTCCTCAGAGCTGTCCCCTCCCAGGAGCAAAGAGCGGCAGGATGCCATGAAAGGGCTGTGCAGAGGACCAGACTGCCCTGGACTGCTAGCCACCTGAGTGCCATCCACATATAGGGCCACGCGCTGTCCATCGTAAGTGGCTGCCACATGTGTCCATGTGCCTGCTTGGTAGCGACTGCGGCTAACCACAATCGTGGCTTTCTTCGCACGGTCGGTGCGGAGGGAGAAGAAGAAGCGAGCGTCCCGCCTTCCCTTGTCCTTCCTTGAGCGAATCCCCAGGGCCCAGCCCTTGTCATTGACAGTGTGGGAGCAGTTATCAAACACACCTGGGAAAGAAGGAAGAATCAAGGGAAGAAATACAAGATACAAAGGGAGTGGAGAAAAGGAGAAGAAAACCCATGTAAGTAGCAAGAATGTAGGTGTATATGTATATTTTAATTTTGAGACAGGGTCTTGCTATATTTCCCAAGCTCATCTTGAGCTCCTGGGCGCAAGAGATCCTCCAGCCTGGGCCTCCCAAAGTGCTGAGATTGCAGGAATGAGCCACCATGCCCAGTCAAATGTAGGTTGTAAATGGGGAAAAAATAAGAAACACAGATTTCTCACCTGGGATGCCTTCCATACTCCCATAACAGGCCATTCTGCCAGCCTTTATCTCTAAAATGAATCTGATTGGAGATTCCACTCAGTTTAACTCATTCTGGAATTTTTACATAACCAAAATTGAAGCTGGAAAGTGGATATCCAAGCAAATAATGATGAGAATGGCAAGAATCCTCTAGCACTTCATCATAAATGTCCTTCCTGCTGACTGTCTTTGAGTCCACACCTTTCCTTACTGATCCTAGTTCTTTTTCATTTCTTCAGAAACCACGAGAGTAGTCACAGGTTTTGCAAATGACAGCAATCTCCTATCCTCTCAAAGATCATTTTGCTCTGCTGAACATTAGATTGATGATTCTCATGAGACAATCAAGAAGTTGGTGAGTCAAGGAGGCCCCCAGACAGGAGTGTAACATCCTAAACATCACTCCTAGCCCACTAGCCTCTCTAGTACCTTTCCATGGGCAAGAATGCCCATCCACAGAGAGCAACTCTTCCCCAGAGTGAGCAAAATGGCACTGTCCCATGTCCTATTGTCCCATGGTCCTAGCCTGAAAATCTAGACAGTGAGTTATGAAAATGATTGTTCTATACCAAATGACCACAGTATGGAAGCAGAACTATTCCTGTTAAATAAAGTCCCACCATGCACCACCGCACCACCTTGCTCAGAGCAGGTACAGGACTATTAAATCCAACTGCATAAACAAAACAATGAAACACCTGGAAATAGCTAGATCATTAACCAACTAGCAGCAGGAAGAGGCAGTAGGGTCAGACATGGCATGACCACAGTTAAAAGAGCACCCCGAAGCCTTGAATGTTCCCAGTAATCCATCTTTGTTTAACTCATCATCTCCTCCTGAGTATGTCTTCTAGTTTATAGAGTCTCAGGAGCAGCTTTGACTTGTAAATCACATGAAGGCAGTACATTCACACAGGAAATGCTTAATAAATATTGCCCTCACTGATGAAAGAATGATGGAGAACTCTGCTAATTTTTGGATTAGATGTCTGGGTTATCTTCAAAAGCCATTCTCCCCTGGCCTGTTAAATAAGAATTTAATTTATTCCTGACCTCTTACATCATCCCATCCAACAATACTTTTCCACGGATAGTCTAGATTTGTAAGCCATGAGCCCTTCCATTCTGATGGCCGGAATGTATTTTAAAAGTAGCTATGTTTTCATAAACAATAGAATGTCTTCTTTTCTGTCTCTAGCATAAATTGTTAACTTGTGATTTAAAAAAATAGAAGTACTTTTTAACAAAAACAGCTCCTTCCTTATCCAGTAATTCTAATAATTATGATTTGAATTACTGGTGATGACTAGCTATAATATGATGGGAATATTCCAGTTTTGGTTTTTGTTTTTCTTCTGATGTTTGTGTGTTAAAGGAGCATAAGAAATATGACTGTTGTATTTAGTGGCTTTTCAAAGAGCAAACAAATCAAGTGAAAGCAATACTAAATTCTCTGAGTAATATTTTCTCCTTGGTTTAGTTATTTTAAGAAGTAATAATTAGTTTTATTTATCTGCCTGATCTACAAACACATATACTGCAACGTTTACTATCGGGACCATGGAGTTACTAATTTGTCTATTATCTGCTGGTTTTTAAGAGAAAGAACTGGGGAAGCTATCTTATATTTGTCTCATACACACAAATATATGTATGAGTTAGGGTATAAATTATTAGGCTTGACATACAAATTACCAATAATTAACTTGGTTACCTGCTAGACATCTAGTTGCAATTTTGAACACTTTAATTTGCTATCCTTAGAACTTCTAATAATCTATTATCAAAAAATAATGATTTCTACTTACTAGTCTCTTAGGAAGTGATAAAATTATTGATAGAGTGTCTAAAATGTTAGTTCTAACCTCTTGAGACACTACATAAAAGATGGAAATTTCTTATCTTACTAGTCTAGTTCTGATTAATATAAGTTTTAGTGCTTTTGCAAAAAAGATTTACTGACCAAGAGCACTAAAATAATCTATTTTTGTGGGGAGACATAGCAAGTAAGTGGAAGTATTATTTCTGAATGATTACCAAAGTAATGATTCTTTGCTTTCTTATTTATTAAGATATCTAAACAGTACATGACACATCTCCCTAGGTACACAGATAACTGAATTTTACTTACTATATTATCATTGTTCATGCTTCATCTATAAGCAGACAGAATAAATAGTTACTAAAACATAGTCCTGCACTCCTTCCAATTAAAAAACATATTTACCAAATAGAATTCTCTAACTCAGTGTCATCAACCATGGCTGTGGATTAGAATCACATGTGAAACTCTTACGGTATGGAGTTTTTGAAACCATGTTGAGAGCTGTTGATGCCCCATATTTACAAAAGAAATCAAATTTTTTTTCTCACTGTTGCTCAGTAGATGGAAATGCAGAAGACAGAATCTGGGAGTCTTAGTATTTTTCAAAGAGTGACGGAAATTAGAAAGATTATTATTAATGGTACATTAAATCAGTCATGAAAGTGTAACTATTTGTTTAAAAATCTTACCAGATCAAACATCTTAGGTTTTTCCCAGGTCTCTATGCAACAGTAATATGTACTAATTAATTCAGCAAACTAATGGAATGAGAAGTAGTTAAAAGAAGCAAAAGTCCTGTTAGGAATAAGTGCACAAACTGATTTATCTCCCTTATACACTTGTTTAGTAGATATTTATGAAGTAGTGCCACCTGCCAGTCTCAGTACTTGGTTCTAGGGATTCTATAGTGATCAAATGGTTATTTGACATCATGGAGAGTTCAATATAGTGCAGAAGAGAAACCTGAAATAAGTAACTACAGTGGAATAGTCTGACTATTAAAAGTCTAAATATCTATAAAAACACCAAAAGGATCTCTTTATTAAAACATTGACATAATATAGAAGAAATTCTCCTTAAAGTCACTAACTGTCAACTTCCCAGTGCTGACCTGTCTTGCTAATAATTTGATTCCTAGAAAGCATCCACCATTCAAAACTGCCCATGGAATTAAGGCTACCTTGATTACCAGTCAGACTGTCTGGAAAGGCTAGGGAAAGTCAAAGCCACAGCATCCCAAGAGATAAATTAAGGCATTGCCAAGCCAAAGGTCCTGCCAGTTTACTCAGAAATATTTATTGTAAGATTCTTTATAATCTGCATTTATATTAAAAAATCATTTTCAGCCACATTTTCTAAGCAGGGATTTTTATGTGTGTGTGACCATCTTTTTTTTACTACTTGAACTTCCCAAATCAATCTTGTATGTATACTATTACCTAAGTGGTAAAATCATCCTGTGAGGTAATCAGGATTATTCATTGTCATTCGTCTCATTTTAAAGATGGAAGACACTAAGACTCTGAGAGATCCAGTGTCAGACTGGGTTCAGAGAGTGTACTAGAACCAAGACATCACAATTCTGAACCCAGAACAATCTTTCACCACACCTATGCTGAGGAAGACCATAATGCATAGTAGTTATAAACATGAGTCAGCCAGATATTTTAGTCCCCAGTCTACAACTTACATACTATATGACCTCAGAAAACTTATATCATCTTGCTGAGCTCTGGTTTCCACATCTACAAATTTTACTTGTGAAATAAAATCTGTGAATATTCAGCATCCTTCAACCACAAGCTGAGATCACAGAACTACCTCAAGGATGTTGTGAGCATTAAATTAAAGAACACATGTGAAGGCTCTTAGCACAGTGCCTAACTCATATAAAGCAATTAATTAATATTAGATGATATGATAGTCAGAAAGAATTTCATGATGTGGTATCAAAGAGACGAACAAATCAGATATAAAACCAGTGATATGCTGGTAAATATTTAACAATTGGTCCTCTGAAAAAGAATTAATAAAGCCCTACTTTTCAGTATTTGCCATTTTCCGTGATGTAAATTATTCCCACAATGGGGACCAATGAGAGGACCAAACTTTACTTGTATGATGACCTGTACCTATACCTGATCCTGAACTGTACTCCACATATTTAAAATTTTTTTTTTAAAAAAGTACTCCCACAATGATGTCATCGAACATGAGTTTGGGAGAAGATGTGCAAAATTGGCTCTGGTGAACCAATTTGAGCCAATTCCAGTACTGTAAGGACTACAAAGGAAAGGAGATGCAAGCTTCCAAATGTATCCTTTTTTCCTTTGGCTATTAAAGTAGATGTGACTGCTTTGGTGATGATCTGATGCTTTAATAATTTAAAAGGGAAAATATTACCTCTATTCTGAGTTTTGAGCCTTAAGATGTCTGAGGACCCAGTGACCAATTGTACCTGTGAAATAAAATGTGTCCTTCTTCTGCCTCCTTTCACTATAAGTTGGATCATAGAGTACCCTGCACAGCTCTTCACATGCTCTCAGGAGTGATCCTTAGCCCTGCTTTCACATCATTAAGAAAAAACAAGACAAACTTTATTTCAAGAGAAAAATAACAGAATCCACATTTAGGAGACTTCTCTTTCTTCTCAGTCTAGCAAAGCAAAGGCTGACAAAATCAATGTCATCTAAGCCAACACAATATACGTGGTGAAACTCTGAGCTTGTGCAACATTAGGATTTTATAACTTTGGATGTACGTGTGATAGAAACAAATATGTTATAACTTTTGTTTATTCATCAAAGCCACATTCTTGGAAAGAACAGAGGGACCAGAACATGAATATGATTTATGAAATCACTCAACACTAA